ATGTCACAATCTCGCTGGCTTTACCAAAGAAGGAAAAAGTGCCGCAGTTAATAAATTCTGAAAATATGAAAGTTACATTTGCAAGTAAGACCATCCAGTTTTGCTAATGTGGAGTAAAAAAAGTCTCTCAATCTATAAAAAAACAACAACCCTCAAACAAAAAAAACCTTACAAATAATTAGATATCAGATCAGTTCTGTACATTTTTATTTGGTTTTCACAAGTTTGAAGGCCCCTTCAAATATTGCTGACCTATCTTAAAGCTGTTGGACCGTGGGAATATGTTTAATTAAAGCACAGGAACTCTCATGTTTACATGAAGCCACAATGACTGATAAACGCTTTAAATTTAACAGCCAGGCACATTTTCTAGGGCTGAGGTATTAAATGATCTCTAAATGATACCTGGTAACCTGCCAATGCAAATGGTGGAGTACAGAGTTGCCAGGCAAGAACAAAAAACTCACCCGAATGTTTGTCAGGCGGTAATTTCTCACGCCTTGTATCACCAAAGCTGAATACACAGGTAACAACTCTGGAGTGAGATGGAAAACAGAGGGGGGTTTAAAGAGTGAAGCACCAGAAAGCGAACTGCAGGGTTCTGATTACCTCTGCTGTTTGCTGGTAGTTGTCACTGTTGTTGTGTGCTTTCATTAGCTTTCTTCTGCAGAATCAGGGCTGATAACTAATAGCCTGTACTCTCACTACGGCACACACACACGCACACAGATAGAGAGAGGACAGTACTTCTCTGCCAAAGTTTCTCAGATTTACAAATGCAGTGCAGAGACACAGCACACTCTGTGACCTTGGAGCTCCTGACTGCTCTCACAGCGTCAGTCTGTTCATAACACGGAGTTTATATACGACAGTCTAAACTTCAGCATCACCGCAGGGCCAACAGAGGTGTTGAACATGCACCTATTATTGTAGCACTTTTTGCCCTCCAGAAAGCAGAATAAGTGGCTGAAATGCACAAAAGTGGCTGAAATGCACAAAACTCCATACAACCCTGAGACCATGACTGAAACAGGTTAATACAACTATTATTAAGGCTTTTCATGCTTCTCTTTCAGAGAAGTAAGATCAGGCTCTGAGTCCTGGACAAATTTTAAAAAGAAAGAAAGAAAATAAATAAATTATAATTCCAGTTGAAAAATGCATAGGCAGCTGGGTTACCTTTCTCACCAGAAATCCCGCACTTCCCTGATATTTTTGGCTATGTGATAGAGAAAGAAGCATTTTAATCTTAAATATAAACCCCACTTGAAAAAAAGCCTTAAAAATCACAGCCCCACTGAGCTTCCTGCAGTGGAAGGCCTAAATGGTTTAGATGTGGGAAAAACTGCTTATCCTGAACCTTCAACCTAAATTTTATTACAGTTACAGTTTTATTACTCATTATTTTACCCCTTGTGAAGGAGCCTAATATTTTTTTTAATAAAAATAAAACAGTGCTAAAATTATACTTGCACCTCACGTTTTGTGTTCAGGTCCCGCTAAACCAAGCTTCCTCACAACTCTTACCACAAACACAGGTTCACAATGAATCGCCATCCTCCCCCTCTTATCTCCATGTGTCACCAACACTTGTGCAGAGAAAGACACATGAGCGGGACAGCGGGGTCCAGCAGCTGTCCTGACAGCCGCAAACATGAGCGGTGAGCAACAGGTTTGAATGGGAGCAGCGGGTGGTGTGTGTGTGGGGGGAATCATCCCTTGCTGCTTGCTTTCTCACTGCCCCCCTCCCCTCCTCACTAGGCAAACAATAAAGTTATTATGCTTTTTTCCTGACTCACAGTTAATCCACGCGGGGAGATTTCAACAACAGAGTTTCGTTGTTCGGATTAACTTTCCAGCGCAAACAACCCAGCGAGGAGCTGCGCGCTTATTCAGTGGCTTTCCACGCGATAAACGTAAAATTTCACACGCCGTTCAGAGCAGAGGATACTCACTTTAAAGCACAGGTACTCCGTTTATCCAGCAGGACACACTATCCACCTGATCTCATGTCGGAAACGCAGCGGAGGACGAAGGGAAAGCACACGGAGAGGATCCCTGCAGCAGCCGCAAAGTTACTTCCGCGGAGAAATCCAGCTCAGCTCCGCGGAGGAAGCGCCTCTGTGTCTTTACTTAAAGACACAGCGAAGTGGACACGAGTGAAGACACTCAGCGCCAGCGTGAAAACACAGACAAACACAGGAACGCTGTAGCTCCCGGCCGTAAAAACTCAAAATGCGTCGCATTCCTATGGTTTCAGCAAACCCGGCCCAGTATCATGACGTCACGGGGAGAGAGACGGAGAGAGGGAGAGCGAGATTAGCACGGGTAAGCTCGAATCTATTCACAACTTTATGTCCTGCCTGCTTTTAAATAAAAGCCGTTAATGCCCCCTTTTTTTCTTCCACTCCCACGCTTTCCTTCCTGTCACACACACGGAATCTGCTGTCACAGGTGTTGTTACCTGAGTTGTCACGTGATGCAGAAGCCCTGTCACTCAAGGAACCCTGAACTCAAACATCGAGGGTTTTTTTCTCAACTTTAAGTATTTTGTTTTTTACCCATAAACACTTCAAAGTTTAATCTGTAACAAATATCTTCTTTTGTCCACCTTTATTGTTCATCACTTAAAATACCAACAGTTTCAAATAGTAAACTATGTGGTATTTATTAGTGAAACCATAGATTAAATGTTGGTAATTGGTTTGCCTTTATTACTGGATTCCTTTAACTGCAGTCATACCGGTTAGAGCTGAAACTGGGCAAGTGCTGTCATAATCAGAGTGACATCATGTGACAGCACAGGTAACGATATGCCTGTGGCGGGAGATTCCTGAAGTGTGACAGAAAGGATGACAGGATTTCTATTGAGGATACTTTGTGTGCCATATCTTTATGCTAAGGACCTGTAAAATCACAAATCATTGGTCAGTGAGTATTACCTGCTTTTGCCAGCCTTTCTGAGTATAATGGATTAAAATGAACTACTGTTTGGCTCCATAAAATCAAATCATAAAACCCCCTAACAGTTAATGGGACGAAGAAGAGCTGGAATCAAGTTACAGTAACATAATTTGAAGACCTTATCATGAAGTTCTACAATTTCACTTACTTTTCTCCAGGCCCTCTCCTTTCTCATCCTCTCTATTTAAAAGTGAGGTTGAACTACACAGCTCCATCTGCCCACAAAAGTGGTTCAAAAAGAATCAAAATGAAGTAAAATATTCAAAGCTGAACTATACTTGTGGAAAAAAAGGAAACGTTTAAATCTCAGATTGGATTTGATGAATGAACTATTCAATTAAAAAAAAAAACAGCCACCAAGAAACCAAAATCATCAATCCTTTTGGTGGGATTTTGAGTCCAGCCCTCAGGGTTAAAATTGTTCAAGTGTTCCTCTAACTGTTTTTTAGCATTATATTTTTAACTCAGGCATCACATCACATGAAGCTGAAGTCCACCTCAGTCTGCCTCATTGCAAAGCTACTGTGTGCAGATGTGCTGTGTGAAAACTTGGCCTTGTGTTTGGTGTCAACACAACATACAGTCACATACAGTCACAACTAATCTGTTTATTTACTCAACTAATCAATAAGGTATTAGTTGTGTTTATTGTAAATCTATAGTTTGAATGATGTTTGAGCCCTAAAATGGATTCATTTACTCTGAAATACCAAGTAAAGTTAAAACAAAGGATGAATGATGAGCTATTTCCTGGTTGAAACATTTTTAGGTCTTTCTGTTGTTGTTTGTTGTCACATGACAATATGAGTCACTCTGGCATGGCAGGACCTGCCAGTACGGCTCAAATTAGTGCTGTCCAGCCTGCTATGAAATACCACGCCTGCCTGCTAATGTCAACAGAACCATCAACACATGGAGGACTCGCGGAGGCCGAGTATGTCAAGACTACATGATGAAACACATTATCTTAGACTCAAAAATCTTGCCAATGTATTGTGTTAACATCGCTGCTTAAAAACACGTTTAAAAGCTGCTCATAGAAAAATTGTGATATGGTTGCTTAGTTTCAAAAGAGGGAAATAAACAGATTTCAGGGCGAGAACATAAATGGGCAAATCTTTGACATTGAAAGAGTAAAAAGATAAAGACAAGTTTGTCATGAACACTGAGAGGCACACCTCATTGTTTATCATGTTATTTCTTTTATGTATATGTTTTTGGAGTTTCTAGTCACAACTACTCTACAGGTTTATGCCCTTGACAGGTACACAGTTTACTTTTTTAAACAGTTTTTTCCTCCATGACTTCACAATGTAACTCTAATTTAGATAGTTTGGAAGTAGATTATTTTGTGCATTCTGTAGTATCAGTGCAGAGCTAAGAACAATTAAATCATGAAATTATAAGGTGTGTAGTTTAATAAATACTCGATTGCCAAAAGGTTGATTCCATTGATCTGGACGCAGCGTGTTCAGTGGGAGAAACGCTTCGTCACTCATCCAAGTGACTTCTTCAGTCTCAGCTGACTGCAGGTTTCCCCAGTCTTATAAACAGTACATTTGCACAGTAACTGAAACTAGCCCACTGAAGGAACAACGGGCTGTGAGGTCAGTTCCTTGATCATTAACATGCAAATTGTCATGACCATTGATCAACAACCACTGATCACAGGGAAACCTGCAGTCAGCTGAGACTGAAGAAGTCACTTGGATGAGTGACGAAGCGTTTCTCCCACTGAACACACTATGTCCAGATCAACACAATCAACCTTTTGGGATTTACTTACCTGGATGATTTAGCATGCATCAAGACAATAGTCCGTTGGCTGGTTCATAATAACATGACCCATTTATCCATCAGAAGACAAGATCAGTTTATATCAGGAGTTTCTCAGAGTGCTGTGAAGCCAACGCTTTATCAGCTTTCCAACAGACTACAAAGTGTCAGCCTCCATAAGGATAAGGCACATTCCTCAGAGAGTAAAAATACAGCAGGAACTAGTCCACTCAACGTATCAGATCCAGGAACATACAAACCTGCCAATCCCGACGGCAACTTCAAACAAAGCATGCAGTGTGGCAGCCAATGAGGGCTGACTTCCAGAGGCAGGTTGTGGAATGTGGAAAGGTCAATGATAAAGAGATAGAGAGCGCTACATGGAGCACACCAGCTAGCTCCCAGCACACACACTGTGAACACGAGCTAGTTTGGCTGTGAACTCACCTGAAGGACCTTTGCTCATTAAGCACATACTGACAAATGCAGAAGTACTGAGGTTTATGAAAGCTTAGTTTAGGAAAATTTTACCTCGTTCCAACGTCATGAAAATTTTTCATTAAGACCACCAGATAAAAAAAAAGAAAAGAAAAAATGAATCCAGGATCCTTATCGAATTATCAGAAATAACAGAAAAATTAAATGAATGATGTAAATTAAGTTAAAGACTTATTGCCTTTACTGCACCAATCATGCTCATGTTTGTAGTCGTCCCCCAACAGGTCAATCCTGATTATGTACCAGCTGCCTAAAACTTTGTTGCAGAGGGCCTTACACTAACTCTTCTCCCCAATTGCAGCAGGACGTGACAAAGAGCCTGCAGGGTTGAACCACGCTGCAAACTCCTGAGAGCCCAAACTATCGAGCACCTGCAGTACAGACAGCACTGATGTTTGTTGACTTAAGCTGCAGGACTAGCTGAGAGATAAGAGATCGCCACACAAAAACACTGCTTACTAACAACTAGTCTGACAACCTGGAGTGGCTTCTTAAGTTTTTTAAGAACGCTGTGTTTTTCTTTGAGACTCAGCAAGCACGATAGTTCTGCTTCAACTACTCTCATCATAATTTGCTACAGTCCTATCAACAAAAGCGTTGTTTCAGTGTTAGAGCTGTGTTAAACATTGAGGTATAGTGTAAAGCATGTGACTCAGAACAGCACCATCATTACATAATGACGACATGTTGTGGAAAACAGAGGCAATGAGATGATGGTGTGCTGAAGAAGCCAAACTTCATGCCAGTCTGCTCTTTCTTTAGCGAGGCCGGCTTTCATCTGATCCAAGAATTACGGTCTACCGGAGAGAGCCGCCCGCCAAACTCAGCAGAGGTAAGAAACTGCAATCAGAAGCTGGCAAATATCCTTCTAACGCTAGCTGTGAAAATACAGGCAGTTACCACTGTGTAGTCCGTAATCAAGCAAAGGCTCACATTAATACGTTTGGACAGCTTGGACATTTCCATGCCAAAAAAGCATTCCAGTTACATTCAGTGGTTTCCTCAGAAATCCCACTGAAGGGATTATGAAAAACTCAAAACTTTGTATTAAAAAAGATCAAATTTTAAATTTCTAATGTAGTTTTCTCATCTTGATGGGATTTAACAGGCTTATCCTTATTTTTCATCACATATATGGCAAAGGTAACATGTTACACACCCAAGTATCTAAAGTTATGCAAGTGAAAAAACAAAAAACAAAAAAAATCTGCTTTTCCCTTGTGTCTGCCCTCGCACTTCTGCCATACACCAGCACAACTCAGGTAAAAAAACAACAACAAAAAAACAGCCAAAATCCACAAATATCGGTATCGTTTGTAAAATCTCTATATGAGCAAGCTTGCCTTATCAGCTTAAAGTAGGACAACTGTGCGAGCAAACATAAGTGCATGCTGGGATTCAATTCAATTTAATCAACAAAATGTCAGAAAATGATGCCAGATGGTGCTGAAACTGACTTGCTTTGCTTGACCATCGTTAAAAGACTCGATATAAGAAGCTCTAAAGTCCTGTTTTGTCTTCAACTGTGGCTAAGAATGCAGATTTCAAGCTTCACTCAGTGTAAAAGATAAAAAATGATGATATCAATTGCAAAATAAACTCACTGTAAAGTATTTCAATTTTTCCAGACACAGAACACCAAAAACTGTCAAAAATGAGCCCCTTTTTTTTTAAATACTGATTTTTTTGCGTTATTATTATGATGATGACAATTGTTATTATTCATGTTATTCGTGTGTTCTTGCCTCTGTTCCTGAGCACTTACAGGGCTCTGTTGATCTTGGCTCCTTCAGTCATTCCACAGAGGATTTTCCCCCCTCTAATGCAATAAGCCTGGACCTCTTTCCCTGTTACAGCGAGAATCACAATATCTGATGTAAGTGTATCATTTCTGTTTTTCCCCTATCCCTCATCTTCCCTTCCTTTTTTTCCACCCCCGAACATGATTTTTCACCTAAATCTTGTCATATGTACTGATAATGTCCACATCTTCCACTTTTAAAGATGATAATTTGCATTTGGTGGTTGGAGTTGGATGTGGAGCACACCACAAACAGCTGATCGAGTCCTACACAGATAGGGCTGCCACACACGATTATTTTGATAGTCGACTAGTCACCGATTAATTTTGCGATTAGTCAACTAATCAGATCATCATCCATTGGACGTAAAACGTACAGCTTATTGCACCAGCAGCATCTGCTCTTATATAACTATCATTAGCTTACAGCTTTAAGTGTTTAAGGTAAGTGCTAACTAAAAATAAAGACAAGATGATAGTTTATTACATTTTAATGAAATTTGCAGATTGTTTCGGTGAAGTTTAATAAACTCCTTGCTATCTAAAATATAACAGGACACCGGAGTATATTCTCGAGCATCTCACACTTCTGATAATCAGCTGTCTGCTTGACGTTTATTCAGCTGTGTAAAAACTGTAACTTTAATCTCAGCCAAACCGATTTACTCAGGAACAAATAAAATACTAAAAAAAAGCCAAACAATAACATTTTTAAGTTATCTAAGTGACTTATATATGTTTAACCTGAGTAGCGAAAGACGGCGGTGGGTTTGAAAACGATTTGCCGGGAGTCCGGTGTTCTCACGGCTCTAGTGAGCCTTGCCCCCGGCTAGCTATCGAGCTAGTGGGTAACAGACGTCTCTGAAAACGTCGGAGCGCTTTTAAAAATATGTGCTGCCATCTTCTGTTTCAGTCCGTTATTACACTCTTAAATCCTGCTACTTATTCCTGCGTCTTTTGTGATCTTACAAAGCTTCAAACGACGCGTCGACTATTAAATTAATCGTCGACGATTTTGATAGTTGACATAATCGTGACTAGTCGACTAATCGTGGCAGCCCTATACACAGAGCAGATTTTTAATAAAAAATTAACTTATGTTTAGGGAGAAAAAGTAAGACAAGTAGGTTTTTGTTCCAAAGCTTTTTTTTGGCAGCTTGATGTCACGATTTCAAGCTTGGTTTCAGAAATTTTACATGTGGTTGTTAAACACTGATCTATAAAATATACTTGCAAAAAAACAGAGCTTATAAAGGAGAAATTAATGAATTAAAACGATCTTGTTTTAAAGTCTTGGGTTTTTTTTCTCAGTATGGGCAGATCTTTGGCTGTTAGCCTGCAGCTAAATCTGTTTTACCGTAACCTCTGCAGCTCACCTCTCCACAAACACCCCCCCCCCCTTTTCTCCCTCTTTTTACTCACTAAACTCTGATTCCTCTCTCACACACAGTTTTATCTGTGCGATCAGGCCCCATGAGAAAAGTCAGATTTTAATGTTTCCACTACAGCATCAACTCAACAAGCAACGACACAAACAGGACAGAAAGAAAATGGAGGTAATTGGAACTTCACATGTGGATACAAACAAAGAACTTCTAAATAGTCAAGACCTCCCACTCTCATAGGCTTCTGGTTTCACAGGGGGAACTTACTCCACTTACTATATTCCGCAATGGCCTTATAAAGCTCAGCCTATAATGGTACATTTCATCGGGTAAAGATTTTAACCCAATTAAACATTTAGGCAACCATTTCTTCTGCTAATTTGAGCTTGAGCCATAGTATTAGTTATAAGATAAGAGGAGTGTATCCTATTTTTTATCTCTGTTGACTAAAGGTCAAAACTGTTGTTTTTTATTAACACATTATTTTATATATTACAAACTAAAATGTGGGGTTGTAGAGGCTTTAATTGCTGTTGGTGGTGGTGACTAATGAACTTCACGGTTATTTATAAATGAAGGAAATTAATTTCCTACATTTTAAAAATTTGAATTGATTACAATTCAACTATTCAAAGGCTCAGAAGTTCATTTTTCCACCTCAAGTCATCACAACTAAGTGAAAAAGGAAAACCGTGCATTGCAGACTATCCATCCATCCATCCATCCATCCATCGTCATCCGCTTTGTCCGGGGTCGGGTCGCGGGGGCAGCAGCCTAAGCAAAGAGGCCCAGACCTCCCTCTCCCCAGCCACCTCCTCCAGCTTGTCCGGGGGAATACCAAGGCGTTCCCAGGCCAGCCGAGAGATATAATCTCTCCAGCGTGTCCTGGGTCTGCCCCGGGGCCTCCTCCCGGTGGGACATGCCTGGAACACCTCACCCAGGAGGCGCCCAGGGGGCATCCTTGTCAGATGCCCGAACCACCTCAGCTGGCTCCTTTCGATGTGGAGCAGCAGCTGCTCTACTCTGAGCCCCTCCCGGATGGCCGAACTTCTCACCCTATCTCTAAGGGAGAGGCCAGCCACCCTTCGGAGGAAGCTCATTTCTGCCGCTTATATCCGCGATCTCGTTCTTTCGGTCACTACCCACAGCTCGTGGCCATAGGTGGTGGCATCGCAGACTAGTCAAATGTAATCAAATGTGCCAGACAGCCGTCATGTCTTCAAAGTTTCATACCTGGAAACATAGTGGCTGCAACTTTCTGATCTCTTTTTTGAAATAGACACCCTGTTGCCCTTTACTCAGACCACACCAGAAAATTGTTTCTTTATTTTTTTTGCCCCCCAATACCATCATTTTCTTACTCAATAACAAATCCCCCACACACCTCATGCTCCTGCCTGTTATTGCCCTTTTGCCTCCAGCCATCACCTTGTACATCGCTGTGAAAGCTGTTTGGACTTCACAGAAGAAGCCTGAACAGCAGCTGCATTCGGGCCCTTCTGGTCAGTTCGCATCAAAGCAATGACAACATCCCTCCTGCCAGCAGCTCTGTCTCCTGCTGGACACATCTGTCAACAGTCATCTGTGATTTCTGATCATTTCCACCTTTATGGCTCGACTCCTCTGCTGTGATTCACCTAAAAACTGGCCAGGAATCAAGAAAAACTCTTAAATCTGCTTGGAGTGAATCCTTCAAACTCAGTAGATTTTAGGTACTGCAGCTTGCATTATAAATATGAGCAAAGGAAATACAGAAACTACAGAGGAATTTGAAAAAAGTAGCATATAGTGAGTGATCAGACATATTTTTGAATGCCTCTTCTTTACTGCTAAATACAGTTAGAAGCAAAAACTCTTTAGCCCCATTGTGTATTAGGTTTGTTGGCATAAATTCAATGTCCAGCAGGTTTATCACCAAAGCCTACATTGCACACTGAAATAGCTGCCAAATGGGCCTTTATTATGGAAGAAGTTTGTCTAGCTTTGTCCAGTAAACTTTGCATAAAACAGCACCTCAAAGTGTGTAACTATAAGTACTCTTCTTTCTAACTACCTTAGTCAAGTCCCACCACAGCTTCTCCATATTAATGGTTCAGACAGACACTATCTATCTTCTTCTGAAACCCAAAGCTAATATTCTGAGGTATGCTTGGGTCACTGTACTACTACTGAAAGGTCCATCAATGATTCCTCACTGACAGCATTACATTTTCTTCCAGGATTTCTGATATTTTACTTACTACATGTTGCCTGTTATACTTTGTAGGCTTTTGCATTACCTGAGGAATCAAAGAAGTCTCTGACATCATTGAGCCATGATCATGCTTTACTATACGTCGGTTTATTCTTCCTTCTCCAGACACATTTCTAACCCATAGGCCAAAAGTTCTAGTTTTGTTTTGTCCCCCCAAAGATCTGTGTCATCATTTCAATCATCATCAGTAATGAGTCACAGCACTTCGATAAATCATATGGTCTTGGGAATAAATTCAGGAACAGGTTTCATTTCAGCCAGTGAAACTGCTAGTCAGTGACTGAAACTGGCAGGGCTCTCTTAGGTTTGGCCCTGTTACATAGTGCCAGCAGGC